GAATTCCTAAATCAAAAAACAAGCAAAACCTTTTCCAAAAAAGAAAAATGGACACAAATTAAACAAAGTAGATCATATTAATATTATCGACATGCCGACATATCACATAGCAATAATAAAACCATTATAAAACAATTAGGAACAACTGAACAGCAAGAATCTATTGTGAGTTTGATTTTCAAAGTAGAGGTTGTCGTACGACTTCCATATATGGATGTCCATATGGATGGTTCAAATGTACCTATAGAAGGCTCCCATGCCCCTATAGATGGTTCATTAATTATATATACAATCTTATGTACATATGCGTGGTTATTCATGCATGCCGTTGCATAAATATCACAAAAATTCAGGTTCATTCAAGCGAATTGGTCTCGTGGCTTATTGGTTAAGGAATAAAAGACGAAATTCCGTGTTTGAYACTCTGATCAAAACACGCGGGATGTAGGGAGAGCACGAGAGAAGCGTAGGAAACCACGACGCGTAGCTGTCTGCAGCTTCTGTAGCTTCTAAAACGTTTGATAGCTCTTCTTCTGGGATATCATCCCATAGGACATCATAAATAGGCATTTATTCGTTCATTGTTCTTGAAAATGAATGATAACAACAACAAATGCAAACGGCGGGAAAAAAGAAATTTTTGACGAGCGCGAGCGTGTTTTGATACTGTAATCAAACATGGTTTTCGACCAATCACAGYGCGCGTAGTATCCTAAATATTTTAGAATTAGGTTTAGAGAATATATCGGGTTAGGCAATGCATAGCGCTGGCTCGAATCTTAGTATTCGTTCTTCAAAAATTTCTTTTCGGTTTATGTTTAAGTGTTTGTTTGAAGTTTTCTAAGTTCTTCTCCACATAATTGGGACATCAGAGACTTCTACGAGCACATCAGCGTCTTCTATGTGCACATCAGCGCTGTACATGCACAACAATATATGGAAGTCGTAACACAAACCCTTCTCGATTTTCATGGGCCACCAGCATCCCTTTCGAACTTTTGCTCATGGAAAAAAATACATCGCAATATAAGCAAAGACCTGGAAGACTTACTCTTTATTATCCCTTTATACTGTATGAATGGAGATACTGTAAGAATCGGCTTTTAACCGTTGGATAGAAACGGATTGGGAATGGATATTCGAAGGCATTTTCCATATATGAAAAAAATACACACGACCTCATTGAATGCTGGTGGACCATGTCCCTTTAATGTCCACGGTATAAAATGGAAGAATGAAAAAGTGATCTCCAACAAATTTTCAAAATGATATCTCATTTTGATAATTTTCGAGGTCAATTCAAATATTAGTATCCTGAGAATCAGTCTCTCTCGAATGGAATTTTGGTTCCGCCCCGTCCTCTTAGAAAGTCGACACTGACACTCAGGCTAGTTAGTCTTCATTTCACTCACCGGCATTTCTGTATCACACAAGGTCTCCTGCATAAAAGAGGAATTTGCGCAATTATTAAAATATAGAATTCACTGTGGTTATTCATGATGGACATGTTGATTGCACTCCATTTTTCGAGTACCGTTGTATATATAAATATGCACATATACACCTAATTGAAGAAACTTTGTCGGGTCCAAAAAGTTCAAATCATAGAAGCTAAGACCGAAAGGGTACTTGGAAAGACAAACAATTTGGCTAATATATCATACAAACAGCTCTCCAGCATAAAAGACTATCATGCTGTCA